CTTTCCTTCTTTCCTTCTTTCCTTCTTTCCTCTTTCCTTCTTTCCTCTTTCCTTCTTTCCTTCTTTCCTCTTTCCTTCTTTCCTTCTTTCCTTTTTTCCCTTCTTTTCCTTTCCTTCTGTTTCCTTTTTCCCCTTCTTTTTCCCTCTCTCCCCCCCACTTCCCATTCCCAGTGCCCCCCCAACACCATGCCCTGACCCCCCCAGACTCCCTCTCTGGTCCTGGCCCTTCACCCCCGCCCTGCCAGAGCCGCCTACAGCTGCATTTTTTTTTGCCATAGGCATCACTATATCCATCTGTGCTACATGCGTTTATATATATACATACACACATCTAAATAAACATTTATAAAGATATATGTCTTTGTACATATACAGTCATGCTACATGTATTTATAGACACGCAGTTTTCCTCCATACATGTCTATGGGGGAGTGTATGTGGGGAGGGGGTTGCAGATGTGGAAGCTCTGAGCCCTGGGTCCCTGCACCCCGCAGGGCTGGGAGGGGAGAGCAGAGGGGCTCCTTCCCCAGATGCCAGCCCCCAGCATGGGGTGGGGGTGAGAGAGGCCGTGGCCCCCCCGTGACCATGGCAGGGGCTGGGGGGACCTGTCCTCCCACACTGGGACTCTTCTAGTGCCCCCACTCCCCTTTCGGTCCCCAAAACTGAATGGGTGCAGGACCAAAACCAAGCCAAACCCATACGAAGCCCTCCCAAACCCACACTCACCCCCAAACTCCAGATGAGGGCAGTGCCAGGGGTTTGAGGGGGTCCCTGTACCCCCCCACTCCCAGTGTCAGGTGGGGGAGCTCTGCTGTGAGTCTTTAAATTCGGCTTTTTTCAGTAATTGCCCCCCATCTCCTTGGAAACCGGCGGCGCTCCCCGGCTCCTCCTGGCAATGCAGCCACCCCAAAAATGTCCTGGTTTGGGGCTCCCAGCTGGCCAGGGCAAGGGTTGGTTACTGGGGAGGGACTGGGCAGACTGGGCTGGTTATATTTTTGGTGTATGGTTTTTTTGGGGGGACACCTGAAATCAAATACCCTCCTAATCAGCTCTTTGCCCGTAAAGAAAACTTCCCAATGCTAAACCGACGTGGTTGCCCCCAGCTTTTCTCCCAGTTTTATTGGATCCAGAATTGCCTCCCACAGTCTGAGTTCATAGGAACCAAATTCAGCCAGAAGGGAGATTTAAAACATTAAATAATGGAAAAGGAGTTAAAACGTTCTTTATATAATGATTTGCATTTGTCAGCTCACCTTGGGATTTCACCCTTTGCCCACGCGAGAGCCCATTTAAATTAAAATCAGAAACAAACAGGTAAAGAAAATGTGGGAAATACAAAAAGCCAGGGGAAATTCAGCGAAATTCCTGCCATGAATTGGCTTTTTTTCCTGATAAAAATGAGCACTTGCCAGAGGAGCTCATCCCTGACAGACAGGGAAACACTCAGGAAAGTCAAAGATAAGAGGGGAAAGGCAAAAAAGGAAAAGAGGTTTTAAAGAGGCTTTGAAAAAAATAACAATCAAAAGCCTAGGAAACAAAGAGCTTTCCCAGACGGATGGGATGCTGCACCCCAGTTCAACAAGAACTTGGTTTTTCCAAGTGTATTTTGGTTGAATAAGGGGTTTTTTTTTGGGGGGGGGTTTAAACTTTTTTGGTTTGAACCAAATCAGTGAAGAAATGAAAGTTGCTGTGCTGCCGCCTGGGAGCAGTGGGAACCGGACCCCAGCCTCTGCACTGCCTTGTGCTTCCCACACCCTCCCATGAAACAAAAAATAATAAAATTAGGAAAATAAAACCAATATAACATCACATGAAGCGGCATAAAAACTTGCCTTCGTTCGGAAATGGGCAGTATTTTTATTTTAAAGGCTGATTTTTGCTTGCAGTGGCGAGGGACGTAAGTGCTGCTGTGGGAAGGAGAGGGTTTGCCGGTGGCCACGGAAGGGGACAGCCCTGGGATGCAGAGCTGAGGGATGGCCTGAGAGCACCGTGATGGTGACGTCCATGGTCCCTGGGCCTGGGGACCACGGTGGGGTGATGGTTGCCACATGGTGCTGGTGACAAGCCACGGGGACAGCCGGTGGCAGGGAGCAGGATGGTGGTGGCTGCTTTTTGCAGCCTCTCTCTCTTTCAAGAAGTCTATTTTCATTTTTCCCCGCATTAAATCCAAACCGAATTTGGGACTCAAGCAACTCCAGCGATGAGGGAGACAGACAGAGGAAGAGCCACCAAGAGCTTGGGAAGGTCCTGATCCTGCATCACAGGGCGCTGTGGCTCCGGCTTGTGACACTGTACCTTAGAAACTTATCCCACTCCTTCCCCAGCACCTCTGCTCCGCAGTTCCTGCCTGATCGCTCCCAGGTCCCCACTTCTCCACCCCGCTTCAGCCTCGCAAGTTCAGGGTTGTTCCCAAACTGGACACTGGCACCTCCCAGGAGGGCGCAGAGCAAACGCATCCCTCCTCACTCCACCAGATCTGGGAAAGCTGCGGGGGAAAGGTCACGTTATCCAAGGTCTGCTTGTAAGGAACGGGCCTTTTTTGCTTTAAAAAAATACCAATAAAATGAAATTAAATAATCCCCGCTTCATTTTGCTTCCTTCACCTTGAGGAGTCACCAGCAAAGCCCCCTTTGTCTGAGCCCCGCAGAAGCCAGACCCTCCTGGTCCCTGCAGCAGCCGGCATCACCCCTCTCCGTATGCGATTAAAATGGAAGACAACCATCAAGTGTGCTAGAACCATTTTAATATAATTATACATATCTGCCAAATCCAGGAAAGGAAAAAAAAAAAAAAAAAAAAGGTTTATGCATTCATTTTTTTTTTTTTTTTTTTTTTTTTTCAGTTAACATCTGCAAGCATAAACGACAATGAATTTCTCGGTTTAAATTCATCCAGGTCAGAGCAACTGCCCAAAGTCCTGTTGGATCTGACGGTTACTGCCGGCGTGGCCAGCGGTAAGTGAGCTCCAGAGGAGTTTAATGTCCTCGGGTGGGGTTTTTATTTTTCGGTCTTTTCTCTTTCATTCAGAGACAGTTTGTTGTAAAAAGTTTCAGTGCAGTTCACCTCGGGTGAAAGGCGATCATGTTTTTTGCGGTTTTGCTTTTTTTTTTTTTGTCGTTTTTTCTTTTTTAATATATACGTTTTATTATTTTTTTTTTAAAAGAGGATAATAGGTAACTCAGTTGCTCTGAATTTCACTTATAATTATAACCTATTTAAATCACAGCAGAACTCCCGCTGGTGCGGAGCTCATAGTTGCATACAATACAGGAGATCACAGTTTTGAAGTCTAGCACAGATTAAAAACCACAGATGTACCATTTATATAAGACACACACTGATTGTCTCTTAAAAACTACATATTGACTCCTTATGAACATTATCTTTTTTCTTGTTTTAATCTTTAAATAAAGTAGTGCAGCTAGGACAATCAGTCACACAACCCACACAGCCCTGAACCGAGTTCTCCGGGTGCCAACCCGAGCGAGTCGGGCGCAAAACAGATTGGGTGGGAGCGAAAGAAAAGGGAGAAAAAGAGGGAGGAAAAAAGAGAGATGCTGTCCACTCTGAATAGTTTAACCGAGGGTTGGCTAACACATTGGAAACCTCTGGGTGAAGGATCTTTCCACGCACAAACACACACAAAAAAAAAAAAAAAAGAAATAAAAACCTAAACTTTTTTTTATCTTTTTTTTTGTCTTTTTTTTTCTTTTCTTTTCTTTTTTTTTTTTCTTTTTTTTTTTTACCAAAACTGGCCCATAGGTGGGATGATCTCCCACCTCTTCCAAACAAAGAAACCCAACAGTTGCCTACAACTAGAAAGAACACAGATGGGTCTGTCTGCTTTCTGCTTGCTAGATGATCTGTCCGTTTAAGGCCTTCCTCCTCCGCTTTTCCTCTTTATTATTCCTTTTCCAGAGCAGGAGATGACTCCGAACGGGATCACACCAACACGGTCCCCCCTCTTGTTGCCGTCGTTTGTTTTTCGTTTGTTTGCTTTTATGTTTTTTTTAAAATGTTCGCTTGTTTGTCCGTTAAGTTATTTTATTTTTTTGTTTTCTCTTTAATTTAACCAAGACCTGACTAAAACTGGAGCACTCAGCCCAGCCGGTTCGTTCTCGTGGTGATTTTTCGCTCGTTAGCGCCCAAAAGGTTCTTCACAAAACCTGGAACTTCCATGACGACGTCTGGTCCTTATAATCCAAGCAGTCAGCGTTGAAGTTTAACTTCCAGGAGGCCGTTTGGTCTTTATAATCCAAGCAATCGGTGGTGGAGTTAAAGCCCAAACTGGAGGCCCCGTAGCCCTGGGTGGAAAGGGAGGCTGGAGACTGGTTGAGGTGGCTGGTGACCGCGTTGGCACCCATGGGACTCAGGGCGGCCCCCGGTCCGGGAAGCTGGTGGTGCATAGGGGTCAAGTAAGATCCACAGTCCATCCCTCCGAAATAGGAGGTCGAGCCAGCGTATCCTTGGCTGTAGCCTGATGCCTGGGTGTAGGTCATGGGGTAGGACCTCTGCATGCAGGAGGAAGAGGTGGACAGGGGGTCTGAGAGCGGGGAGATGGACGCCGGGCTCCAGATGGACACGGGGGCACTGCTGCTGGAAATGGTGGGGACCGAGGTGCTGGAGGGGGGGGTG